ATCAAATAAACACAGTTCCGATGCTTGAATTACAAACTATCGTGTAGATACATTTGTGTGCCTGTTGTCGTAGGACGTGTATACGTTTTTTCTGTATAGTGTACAGAATCCTGGTGTTTCTATACTCTATACTGTATAGTGTATAGAAACCTGGTATTTCTTACCAAGGAGTCAAAGTTCAGCCCTCGAAGAATCTACCGGAGGGCAAAGAAAACACACCTTCTGTTTTTTTCCATAAAGAGTACAGGAAATGGGAAGTCACTAACGCCACTGCTAAAGTAGCCTAGGGCAGCGAATAAACTACAGTTCTCTTAAAATCTCTTTACAAATACACCATAGTATCGCTGCAGACCTGTCGTCCATTAGTTCGGAAGGGGAGATAAGCACAGCGAAAAAGGAAAAGAAAGATTCCGGTTTGGACAGCATAAACAAATCCGCTCGCTCTCCGCTTTGCAACGCGAATTATGGCGGGGGAAAAAAAGTTCAGATGTACGAGGTTTGTATACTATCTGGCTAAATAAAGCCGAATACTAGACATCTGTATACAAGTCGCTTAAATAATGTTGAGATTTCTCGTGGACAGGATCGGACGCTTGGTGCCAATTTGCCTCATTCTTTCCCCTTATAATTTAGATTGAGAACCGCCAAAAATCCAAAGCTGATCTTTCCCCCTCGAAAAATTTTGGGCGTCTGGATACACACACCTCCGGCTAAGGAGGAAATGTTGAAATGTGGTTTTTGTTTCTGCTTGCCCGGAACGAAATAGTTCCGCTTGGTTTCGCCGATGCATTAGGGGAAATAACAGATTGGTGATTGGGGCGTCTTAATATTTTTCCCCAAAAGTTCTGGTGTTTGATGACCTCGGGGTGAAAATTTCCCGGTGTCTCTGGGGATAGATCTGTGTCGTTTGTGTCCTAGGGTTCTCACGTTCAACTCATTTTATACGAACTCAGAAGGCAATTGGATAGGGCATCTCTGTGTCCTCCTTTCCTCTATCTCTAGCTCTCTCTATCTATCTCTTACGCTCTCTTTCTCTCTCTCTCT